GAGACTGGGTTTCACCATGTTGTCCAGGCTGGTCTTGAACTCCTAACCTCAGTTGATCTGCCCGCCTCAGCCTCCCAAAGTACTTGGATTACAGGCGTGAGTCACTGTACCCAGCCCCTGGCTATTCCTTTTAAACATATATTTTCATCATCATGAAGTTAGGGAGGCTGGCTCACGTCTCCCACCAATTCTCTTTATTATTTCCTTTGATTCTGACACTGCAGATCAAACGAGACTTTTTAATGACAGCTCTTGTGTTCAACTTTGCTCTTATGCCCTAGGAATTACCAGAGAGCTTCTTCTCTTGTTCCTTCCCCCACAATTTTATAAGTGTCAACTTCCTGATTAATGTCATTTAAATGATTTGCTTTTCTGTTAAATTTCTTAGAAAATAAGCCTTAATTCCACTTATTTCACACATACTATATGCTAAATTATGTTTTTTAATATTCTCAGCAAAAAAAACTAGATAGATTTAGTTTATCCCCATTTTACAGATGATGAAAATAATAAAATATTAGAAGTAATTTGCCTCAAATATGTCACGAGTAAATGCTGAACCAGCATTGGAACTCAAGCCTCATTCTGATTACCTACTTTTTCTTTCATTTCTCATTGTTAAAAGAAAAGCTTTAGAAATATAAAATTTAACCGAATTTGAGCAAAGAACAATTCATGACTCAGGTAGCATTCAAAACTGAAAGAGGTTCAGAGAGCTCCACTCCAGCAGTGTGACCACCAAGCTTTTACAGGTTGAACATAGAAACAAAATAGAGAAGTTACCTGATTGACTACAGCTAGGCATTTGCCTTATTTGGATATTGTCTGATGGAAGTTCCCTATTTGTAACCAATAGGCTAGTTGGCTGTTTGTGATTGGCTAAGGCTTATTTTTGGTTTTTGGTTTTTAAGTCAGTTACAATAAATGTTTCCAAGTTAAGTTTCAGTTCTCCTATATAAGAGGGCTGGTTACAGAGATAACCTCAGGCTAATGGCCACCTTATTTAGCATTATATCATACTCTTGGGAAGACATATGATTTTTATGCAAGCATTTATAAAACACAAAATTTTATACAAGCAAATAAATGAATACACAATTTGACATCTGTGTATTTTATAAATATTAGAAAAGAAGATAAAGCATGTATAATTTTAAAACACAGTCTTACAAGTCACTTATGAAGATGTCTTGTGAGGGGAAGAATTAGTCCTGGGACATCAGCCATATATAATTGTCTGTATGCCTCACTCTAATTTGGAATACTCTTTTTCTATCCTAGGTCATATGTCATCAACATTGTTAAGTCAACATCTGAACTGTTATGATAGTTAATTTCACATATAAGCTTGACTGGGCCATCTGATGCCCAGACATTTGGTCAGATATTCTCAATATGTCTGGAGGATATTTCTGGATGAGATTAACATTTGAATCAGGAGCCCAAGTAAAGCAGATTTTCCTGTGTGGTGGGCCTTATCCAATCAAATGAAGAATTGAATAGAATAAAAGACTGAGTAATAGGAAATTTCTCCTGCCTGTTTGAGTTGGGACATACATCAGTCTTTTCCTGCCATTGGACTCAAATTTAAAAACTGACTCTTCTTGGGCCTGCCAGCTTTTGGACTGAAACTTAGCTCTTGTGATTCTCAGGCCTTTGGACTTGTGCTGAAACTGTACTGTGAGCTCACCTGGGTATCTATCTAACTGGCTGTAGATCTTGGGACTTCTGAGCCTCTGTTATCATGCAAGCTTATAATAAATCAATCTTGCACTCTCTCTTGATCTCTTTCTCTGACCTCACTTACATATATCTTCATCCATTGTATTGATTTTGTTTTCTCTAGATCCTTTTCCTTAGAAATAACATCTAGGCCTTTCATTATCTCTCTTCCTCCATGATATCCACTCTCATTTTTAATATGTCTTCCTATTCACAGTTACTCAGAATACTGTGTACAAAACTATTTCTACAAGTAACTTAGATTTCTAGCAGTACTGCCAATTACAACTTATTACTTTCTTCTGCACACACATGCACACACATGTTCACACAGGCACACTGTTTTTCCACACAATGTAACAGCCATCCAGTGGCACTTTCTGTGATGATGAGAATGTTTTATATTTGCTTTGCCTAATACAGTAGTCACTAGGCAGATGTATTAGTCTGACTTAATAGAGAAACAGAACCAAAGGGACATATATATTACACACACACACACACACACACACACACACAGACACACACACACACGTATGTATTTGTACTATACATATGTATATGTATTTTTACTACAGAGGTATATATGTTTGTTTTATATATATGTGTGTTTGTTTTATATATATATGAAACAAGTATACATAAATATATATGGAGAGAGACAGAGAAACTATAAGGAATTAGCTCATGTGATCATGTGATTATGGAAGCTGAGAAGACCCAAGATTTGTAGTCAGCAAGCAGGAGACTTAGGAGAGCTGATGGCATAGTTCTAGTTTGAGTTCCAGCTTGAAGTCAGGCAGAGAGAAAGAGTTCCTTCTTACTCAGCCTTTTGTTCTATTGAGACCTTCAACACACAGGATAAGGCACATCTACACTGGGGAGAACAATTGCTTTACTTAGTCTACCAATTGAAATGTTAATCTCATCTGGAACACTCTCACAGATATACTCAAAAGTAATGTTTAAGCAAAAATATGGGCACCCTGTGGCCCAAACAAGTTGTCACTCATCACACCACATATGGCTGACCACTTAAATGTGGCTAGAGCAATAAAGGACCTGAATTTTTAATTGTATTTACTTACAAGTAATTTAAATAGCTAGACATGGCTCATGGTTACTGTACTGCACAGCACAACAGTAGATTGACTTGGTCCTAGAATGGAGTTTTAATTAATGATGTAGGACAATTTAGACTACTTCTCCAGAACCCAGCTTCCACCCAGGCCTCTTGGAATACCCACTCAGGGAGAACCAAGCTTTATTCAAGAAGCCGAGCCACTCTGAGACTGGCATTCTGTGAAGAAGCTCCAGCTGGCCACTTGGAGAGGGTGTGTTAAGATCAGTGAGAATGAGCTTTTTTTCATGTTTCTTGGCCAGATAAATGTCTTCTTTTGAGAAGTGTCTGTTCATATCTTTTGCCCACTTTATGGTGGGGCTGTTTTTTTTTTCTTGCAAATTTGTTTAAGTTCCTTGTAGATTCTAGATATTAGACCTTTTTCAGATGGGTAGACGACAAAAATTTTCTCCATTCTATAAGTTGCCTGTTCACTCTGATCATAGTTTCTTTTGCTCTGCAGAAGCTCTTTAGTTTAATTAGATCCCATTTGTAAATTTTGGCTTTTGTTGACATTGCTTTTGGTGTTTTAGTAATGAAGTCTTTGCCCATGCCTATGTCCTGAACGGTATTGCCTAGCTTTTCTTCCAGGGTTTTTATGGTTTTGGGTTTTACATTTAAGTCTTTAATCCATCTTGAGTTAATTTTTGTATAAGGAGTAAGGAAGGGGTCCAGTTTCAGTTTTCTGTGTATGGCTGGCTAGTTTTCCCAGAACCATTTATTAAATAGGGAATCCTTTCCCCATTGTTTGTCTTTTTCAGGTTTGACAAAGAACAGATGGTTTTAGATGTGTGGCCACACGGTATATGATTTCACAAAAGATTGAATAAAGAAGCAGATATGACAATCTAGTTGTCTTCTATTAAGCCAGATGCTTAAAGAGATTTGCAAAAAACAGTGCAACCCTTTTCAAGAAGCCTTTTTTTAAAAAAAAATAGTTATTTTACAGTTATCCATTTATATGTTTTTGTAGTTATGTATATATAGGTATGAATATGAAATGGATTTATGTGAGTATGTATAATACATGTATTAAATAGATATATTCAATACAATTATATAAAATTCTTATTTTTAAATGAATGAATAAATATTTAAGTGTTCTCAGAAGAACAACAACAAAAGGAGAAAGAGCCCCATCTGTTCAAGCGATCCCGGCTGAATCATAAGAAATGTGAATGAGGAAACCATACTGAACATGTAATCCAGTCAGGCCTTCAGCTGGCTTCAGCCACAGCTGCCATCTGCCTGTAGTTATATGAAAGTTACAAGCAAGAAGCATCATCTAAACCCACAGGACCATGAGAGATAATAAATTGCTGTCTTAAGCCACTAAGTTTTGGGATGATAACTGGAACAGAAACGTAGAATCAAGGTTTTCTATTTGTCTGGCTCCCCGAGCCCCCAAACTTCTTTTCTGTTTCACACTTCCTTGCTTTTGATGATACAACTTTTATGTTTAGAGCTGAATTTGCAGTTCAAGATAGTCACAATTATCTGATCTTTACCTATCTTGGATTTCTGACCTCATGTTTAAAAAAATATTTCTTAATTAAAATATATGTGGTTTTTCCTTCCTACTTTTACATAGGCCAACTTGGAAATGTGCTTGCCTTTTTCTTCTTTACTGAAGCCATAATAAATTAATCTAACACTTTGATCTTTTTCAACCAATTATCTTGTAAAAGTCTAACCTTAGAAGCCATATAGTTTATGCTGCAAGATCAGCATTTTAACAGCTACTTTGCTTCCAGAAGAGAATGGATTGAAAAAGTGAGGGATTGTGTTGGGTAGATACTCAATAACTATGTTAGAAATAACATGTCTTATGTATAATAATAATATTAATCGTGTAGTGAAATCCTATATAAGCTATTTATACAATGTGTACATTTTGCTATTTAACACAATTATATAGCCCTGAATGTTAGCACTTATGAAAAATATACTTTTTATTCCAATGAGGTCAACATTTATGAAAATTCAAAAGAAATTTAGTATTAAATGTCAGGAAAACAAATGTTTAGAACAAGTTTTACTGTCTTATTATTTTTCTTAGTGACCATTTTTGTATATTTGACATCAAGAGGGCAAAATTTGGAGTCTGAAACTTGCATTAGGTTTCTACTACATCAGTGATTTTCTTTTTTAATTCTAGTTCTAAGGACATATGGAATTGGCTATGGATAATTCATATGCTTTCAATCAACGAAGCACCTGTAATGGAATTCCATCTGAGAAGAAAAACAACTTCCTTATATCAGAAGATCATGGACAAAAAGTCTTAAGCATACTACAGAATTTTAGAGAACAAAATGTCTTTTATGATTTTAAAATAATTATGAAAGATGAAATAATCCCATGTCATCGTTGTGTGTTAGCAGCATGCAGTGACTTTTTCAGGTACTTTACCTTGTCTATGCCTCAGATTTTCTGATTTGGATAATTAAGTTCTGTTTTATGCTACACACAGGAACATGCAAACAGTCACGTCTAATTCTTAAAAAAAAAAAACTAATTAGGACAGGCATGGTGGCTCACACCTGTAATCCCAGCACCCAGGGAGGCTGAGAAGGGTGGATCACCTAAGGTCAGGAATTCAAGACCAGGCTGGCCAATATGGTAAAACCCCATCTTTACTAAAAATGCAAGTAGCCAGGCACAGTGGCATGTACCTGTGATCCCAGCTATATGGGAGACTGCAGGCACGAGAATCACTTGAACTGACTGAGTTGCAGGTGATCTGAGATTGTGTCACTGCACTCCAACCTGGGCAACAGAGCGAGACTCTGTCTCAAAATGAAAACAAAAACAAAGAAAAACTAATTAGAACCAAGATTAACTAACGTTTTTTTAGTAGGAGATCATTTAAAACTACCTTCTATTTTAAAGCACAGGTCTTCCCAGGTCACCATTTCCCAAAGTTCTCTGGAACATTAATTATTTGAAATATTCTGGGACAAAAAAAATTTTTTTTGATGGGGTCAGGTTTTTTGGGGGGAATCCCTGTCTTGTATTATTTTAGAAAAAGCAGACAGGACAGGTTGAAAAAAAAATGGAAGCAAAGTTTGAAGAAAATGACTTCGCGAGAAAAGTAAATTTCAGTCCTATGTTGTATTCATGTATTATGGGGAGAGGTGGCTCTAACTCAGAGGATTTAAAAATGTATCATCTCCTTGGCAAAGATACCCTTATATTAGGGAAAAGTACTTCTTAGCTATGAAATATTTCTTGAAAGCACCCAACTTGTTCTAATTCTAAGCAACCTTCTGAATATAATTTGGTTTCCCATGTAGATCACCCTAAAAAGAATGTCCTAGTCATAACACTGCAGTAATCACTATGACATCAGTTTCTTTTTCTGCAAGGTTAGGGTTCAGACACATGACCTTGCAATTACTGTGTTAATTGTATCAAGAGAATACTATCCTGGGAGGGGTCTTGATCATTAGACAAGCCCCTTTTGATGAAACCCTGATCTTCATCCTCCCTGGTTATACAAGAAACTTATATTCTAATTGCAATATTTTACATTATGTTCATTTGTGGAAGCAATTTTAATATGAATTAAGCAGGGTTTAAATCTTCAATAAATAAACTTGATTTAAAAAAATAAGATTTAAGATATAGAAATACCACGATGCATCTTTTATATGCAAGTTAATTTATACTGTTTTGAATCCTCACTTTAACCCTTTTTTTTACCAGCATCTGATTAGACCTCACCCTTATTGCTTTCAGAGTAAATCTTACAAGCTAGATTTCAGTCAGCAAACATTTATTGATATATACTTCCTGCTAAGCACCTGTAGGGACCCTTGCTTTAAAATTGGGAGCAATGGCTTAGTACTGCAGCAGTTTACTAGGACCACGGAGGCTACAACAGTCTGGAACTAGCTGTCTGCCTCATTCGACTACATGTCATCATCTGTTCTTTTTGTTTCTTCTCTCGGGTAATCAGTTATTCCTTGAACTTCACTGGGGCCCTTACTGTCTTCTACTCTGCCACTCTCATTTCTGCCAGTGTCCTCCCTCCTCTCTTATAACCTAGCTTTTCTTCCATGTAACTCTTTTCTGCTCCCTTATCCTTCAGGTCCCCCCTTCATGACAGGAAGCTGTGTAGTACAATGGTTAAGTAGTTGGCCTCTTAATACATATGCCCTAAATCTAAATCCAAGCTCTATCGTTTACTAGATATGTTTTATTAGGCAAGTTACTTAACCCCTTCAGGCCTCAGTTTCCTCATTTGTAAAAAGGTAGTATTATAAAACTAGGACTTAACTCACAGAATTACTAGATTGCTTAAATGAAAAAAATATGAGTAATAATTAGCATAGTACCTCCTACATTCAGTTAATACTAGCTGCAATGATGATTATTTCTAAATCTAGCAAAAAAATATTAAAAATCTGGTATAAACACACACTTGATTTCCCTGTAATGTTTTCATGCTAATAAAATACTCTTACGTAGGCATTTCAATTTGTAGTCTTGCACCCTTCTTGATCTTATTTTTTAGTAAATTTATCTACACATAATTTTTGCCCATAGTTCTTTGTTCAGCTTACTACTAGTTTTTTATAGGTCTGCTTTTCGTTTTTAAAATTACTGTTAGACCAATGTATTTTTAAAGTTTTCTGCCTAGTTTAAATAACAAAAATATCAGATCCTTTATTATATACACTACTTTATTAAATGAGTACACAGTTCACATTAAAATATGTACATATGTAATAGAAATTTGACAATTTACACTCTCCTATAATGCCACTAATTCAAAATATGATCAAACTCACTTAATAGACTATTGAAAATGTAAAAAGTGTCAGAAAAGTGCACAATACATGGAAATGTCCCTCTTACAGTGTTTTTGGAAAATAAAATTATTTTCCTATCTTAATATCTTAATAGGAGGTCATTGGAGACAAGAAATTGAAAAGGAATCACACACATTTTATATATATACTGTATGAGATGGTAAATTGGAGATAGATGTCAACTGAATACTTGAAGATGAGTAAGGTTGAAGTATCCAAACATAATCTTACATGTGTCTTCCCAAAGAAAATGTGGAAGCTGACAGTAAATAGCTATTTATAAAGTGATAAATAGCATCGTAGGAAGACATTTCGTCATCCTTTTTCTAAGGGATATTCCTTATTTGCAAGTCTCCCCATATTTTTCAGTTGGACGTTGTACACTTTTTAAATAGCTTTCATTAGTTTCTGGAGTACACTCTAATAAGTAAATTGGTTTTCCCTAGAGCACTAGGAACACTGCTCAGAAAGACATCCGGGACAATACTGGCACAAATACAAATCATTGTTAAACCAGAACCAACAGTAAAATGGATTTTGTTCCACGCCGACACATTTCCTAAACTGAGCCAAAGAAATCCCCAGTTCCTTAGATTCTGTCAACTTCGCCATGTAGTGATAAAACAAAACTTACTATGAAGAACTTTCAAGCTGGTCTAATTATTCAGATTTGGGGACCTATCTCCATCTCTCAGTACCTAGTACCAAACTGTCTTTTTTTTTCACCTGTTTGCTTGATGTGGTACATTGTTATTATTTAATTTTAGGAAATCACATTCCCTTTCCCCTAAAAAAAACTATGTAAAATGTCTTTTTAGACATGTGTCTTATTTGGTGAATTTCCCCCACACAAATAGAGTCACTGGAAACAGCAGGTATCTCACTGTACTCTTTTCTGTTTCATTAATGTGAAATTGAAGATAAATTTGAAAGAGATTTTTAAATCCGAAGCCCTAAATAAGTACATTTTAAGTAATTTTAGTTATCACCAGCACAGTTGATACTAATTAATCCATAAATAAAGAAATTTGGCCATCAGCAAGATTTTGCCCTAAAAGTATTAATAATATATAAGAACAAATTAGTATACAAAATTTGAATCTTTTTATAGTATTTTTCATTAGTTGCTATAGCTCAGCTATAATGTACATATTGTGTACTTTAGGCATTTTATAATATGTTTTTTGGCAGATAAAAAATGTATATAATTCTAGATATTAAAATAATTAAGATGCAATTAAAATATAATTTTATAAATATATTTTAAGTCAAGAGTAAAGGAAAACTCTAAGGTAATAGTGAAAATAATTATGGAATAAAATATCCCTGGTGTGTTTCTGTTTCTTCATTGCTGCAGGGCAATGTTTGAAGTGAACATGAAAGAAAGAGACGATGGAAGTGTTACCATTACTAATCTGTCCTCCAAAGCAGTAAAAGCATTTCTCGATTATGCCTATACAGGAAAAACAAAAATAACAGATGATAATGTGGAAATGTTCTTCCAGCTGTCATCATTTCTTCAAGTTTCCTTCCTATCCAAAGCTTGCAGTGACTTTTTAATAAAAAGTATTAATCTTGTCAACTGCTTACAGTTATTATCTCTATCAGATAGCTATGGCTCCACCAGTCTGTTTGATCATGCATTACACTTCGTACAACATCACTTTTCTTTACTATTTAAATCCAGTGACTTCTTAGAGATGAATTTTGGAGTACTACAAAGATGTCTGGAATCAGATGAATTAAATGTTCCTGAAGAAGAAATGGTACTGAAAGTTGTCCTTAGTTGGACTAAACATAACTTAGAATCAAGGCAAAAGTATCTGCCTCATTTGATTAAAAAAGTAAGATTACATCAGTTATCTGAGGAGACACTTCAGGACTGTCTGTTCAGTGAAGAGAGTTTACTCAAAAGCACAAACTGTTTTGACATAATCATGGATGCAATTAAATGTGTGCAAGGTTCTGGTGGACTCTTCCCTGACGCTCGACCATCCACAACTGAAAAATACATATTCATTCACAAAACTGAGGAAAATGGAGAAAATCAATATACATTTTGCTACAATATTAAAACTGATTCATGGAAAATACTGCCGCAATCACACCTGATTGATTTGCCAGGATCTAGTCTTTCTAGCTACGGAGAGAAAATATTCTTGACAGGTGGTTGCAAAGGGAAATGTTGTAGAACGGTTCGACTACATATTGGCGAGTCATATCATGATGCCACCGATCAAACCTGGTGCTACTGTCCAGTTAAAAATGATTTCTTCTTGGTATCAACCATGAAAACACCAAGAACCATGCATACCTCAGTTATGGCTCTTGATAGATTATATGTTATAGGTGGAAAGACTAGAGGAGCCCGGGACATTAAAAGTCTCTTAGATGTTGAATCTTACAATCCTCTTTCCAAAGAATGGACATCTGTTAGCCCATTACCCAGAGGCATATACTATCCAGAAGCAAGTGCATGCCAAAACGTAATTTATGTTCTTGGATCAGAAGTAGAGATTACAGATGCTTTTAACCCATCGCTTGATTGCTTTTTTAAATACAATGCTACAACTGATCAGTGGTCTGAACTAGTAGCAGAGTTTGGGCAATTTTTTCATGCAACATTAATTAAAGCTGTCCCAGTAAACTGTACACTGTATATATGTGACCTTTCCACCTATAAGGTTTATAGTTTTTGTCCAGACACTTGTGTTTGGAAAGGTGAGGGATCTTTTGAGTGTGCAGGCTTTAATGCAGGTGCAATTGGAATTGAAGATAAAATTTATATATTAGGTGGTGATTATGCACCAGATGAAATCACAGATGAAGTGCAGGTCTACCACAGCAACAGATCTGAGTGGGAAGAAGTTTCACCAATGCCGAGAGCCTTAACAGAATTTTACTGCCAGGTGATTCAGTTCAATAAATACAGAGACCCGTGGTTTCCCACTCTATGTGCTTGAACATTCTCAAACAATTCCAGTTCTAGTAACCTAAAGTAAACTCGTTAACCAAAATGATAGGTAAAAAGGTCTATACATCTTAATGAAATAAAATGTTCCTGCTTTCAGTTACTATGTATGCACACTACATATGAATAAACTGTTTCCAAAAGCTTAAAATAGAAATTACATTTTACCAAAAATTATATTGAATATAACCTTGGAGAGTCTAGAATACTTAGTATTTTCTCATGAAACTACAAATCATGGACTTTGACACTTTGACTTTTAAAGTACTCTGTCCATAAAAGATTTGTACTATTTAAATGGGAGAAATCTCTTGAGTAAAAATGAATTACTTATACTGTATCTTATATGCAGTAAAAAATAAATTAGAGGTGAAAAACTTGTTACTGTGGGTATAAGAGTTGTTGAATTCCTATCATTTGTGATGATTGGTTAACCTGTTTTAGGTACCGTTTTTACCCTTTTTAAGTTCAGAAATGTATTTTCCCAGCTTTATAAACTGTATACTAAACATAGTCCAACTTTTTTCAATGGCTCATTTTTTCATTAAAAGCATAATGTACCATCTTATAATGCCATTAGCAATTACTTAAATGCTTTTTTTAAAATGCTGATTCTATTAGTTTTCAGTATCAGTTGGTTTCAGTTTCTAGCAGTCTCTCTCATATTCTGGTTCAATCTTAGTAAATTAACATTCTGGATTTGATTAGTAGGTCTAAGTTACACCTGACCTGAGACTACATTAACATGTAATCCTCAGGGGGAAATTTTTGGATTCAGGATGGTAGTACTAAAATACTTTTTATGTATCATTGCTAGATTCCAGCTTAATTGAGGATATGGAAAATTGACCTCTAATTAAGTGGTTCATTAAAATTGCATTTCTTAAATTTTGTCCAAATTGAGCTACATAAAACATTTCAGGATTTAAATTAGTCCCAAATCAATTTTCTGGGTTGATGTATACCAACTATAAAGCATCATGTTGGTTTGCTACTTAAGTAAAGTATTCTTAGTGAATTACTTTCTAAATTAAAAAAAAAAAAGACTAGGCTTTTGGTATTGATAGTAGTATTCACAACCTGCATCTGTGTAGATGTTTGATCTTTACGCGGAACAATGAAAAGGTATTGTCATTGTTCTCAGGTAGGTGATTCGCCTTCTAAGAGTGTATGTTTCGTTAATCAGTTTAAAAGATAAAGGCATTTTCGGGTTTAAGACCCCTGCTTTACATCTCAGGTAATGTGTATACTGTATTTCTCTTGAACCAAATGTAGTTTTCTACACTCAGTTGTAAATGTTAATCTTCCTCAAATGTGCATCTTCTTAATAACTGTGTCTCTAAGTAGAAATATACCTAAATGAAGATTTTGTTATTTTACCATATAAATTTATGCAACCATAAGTTCCAAATGTGTTTTTCAAAATGGAATGAAATATTAGAGTACATTTTCATGCAGTTTAAAAATCAAGGACTGTTTTTGATTAGAGGCAGGTGCATAAAGAGTTTTCTGTGAAATTGGTGGCCTTCTTATCTAAGCACATGAATAGTTGGTTCTGCACTTTGTGTATTTAAAAAAATGGAAAATTCAGTGGAGCTTTTGTTTATGTGTGTGGCTCTGAAAACAAATTGTGTGAGAAAGACCATAACACAGTGAGTAACCTATACGTGGATTTACTGAACTGTTAACTTAAGCATATATATTAATAGCGTATGTTTAAAATAAATACTGTTTTAATCACTGACTTTAGGAATTGTTCATCTATTTCAGAACGGAGACACCCAAAATCGAATCCCTTTTTGATACTGCTTCATTGCTGCATCATCTTCTTGATTTCCACACTGTTCTGATTGGCCTTTGCTTTATGCTAATATTTCCAGAAACATTTTTGTTATCAAGGCCTAGGTGGCTCCCTCTGCATTTGATATAATACATTTTTCTAATGCAGAAGGTTTTCTGCCTTCTTTTTTTTTTTAAATAATTGCTGTGGGTTACTTTTTAATCATTTTCACTGATTGCCATCCCTTCCTTCACATCTGTACCTTTGTTCTGTCCACAAATTATCACTGCAAGGAAAAGACTCTGTCTATCAAAAAACCTCCAGCTCTTTATTTTCTTTTTTCCTGGTCACCATAGCAATCGGTGCTAGACTCCTCTCCACTAACTCATCTCCTTGTGGATTTTGCCTCTTCTTATAAAGGTCACACTTTCATTTGATCTATATGCCTTCTTGGAAAATCGTTTGTGTCTTCTAAGTCCTCAAGGAACTCAACCACACAGGAACAATGACTGAACTCTGGTTATATCTTCTGGTCTTGTTAATGACTGTGGCTTCACTAAGAACCAGATATATTATTCTGGCCTCACCCTTCTTTCTGACATGCAAATCTCATTGATCCCTCAAGTCTATGCTCAGTACCTCCAGAAGGAGCAATTTTTTCTGTCTGTAAGTTTAGGTAAGAGAAGATAACATCCTTTAATGGGCTCTTCCCTTAGTCTTTTTAAAACTATTTTCCTTTCATTATATCCTTCAGCCAATGCTACAGTGTAAGAGACAAAATAATTATGCTCATTATTCAGACTGCTATCATTCCTGTGGAAAAATTCTATTTAACATTTCTAAATCCGTTATCGTTTGTCTTGCTCCACTACATTTGCATTATGCATGCAAAAATATTTTAATATTGTCTTCTAAAATTGAAAGTAGATATATGGCATTATTAAATACAAAAAAGAGTGTATTTAACACATGAGATCAATTCAAAGTTAATGGACATTCCTAAAATGTAGAGTACCTTTTGTTCATCTACACCCTTTGGGACTAAGTAGTGTGGGGAATATTTGCATAATCAAACAAAGTTAACTACATTCCCATAATTGGCTCTGGTTTGGGGAGTGAAGGAGGTCGTTATCACAGCAATATGCATTATGTGCCACCCTTCAAAGCTAGATTAGCATTCAGTAGTGACCACAGGCTACAATATGATTCCATATTTCTCAGAAACCAAGAGGAGCAATTGAGAAGTTCAGTGTGCTGATTAGCTCAAGGTATACCATCTGAAAATCAGAATTAAGCACAGAGGGATACATCTGTTTACATTTTGAGATTTGAATGCAATAAATATTATAATGTCATGATTAAGTAGTTGAATATATAATGTTACTTTACGAGTTTAATCGGATCTAGTGTTGTGGAAACTCTTACTGAGAACTGAAAGTAGAAATCTCAAAAATGTTATCTGACGGGGCAGCTCTAAATGGCAATCTAAACACAAAGGCTGAAAATTAGAGGAATCATATTTCTGTCCACTTTATAAATTCATACTTTAGAATGAGACCACTTACCAAAAACTGTGGCATATGGAGAATCATTAGGTCAATAATTTCCCATATGAATTGGCATGACCAAAGATTTCTGCATTCTATTTACACATCTCACTCACCATCATTTCTGATATATATTTTCTCCTCCAACATATTTAGCATTTTAGGCATTGTGAATAACTTGATTTCAGTGGTTCTTGATACTCAACTTTTTTCCATAGGAGCTGAGGCTTAAAACTACACCATTTTTGGAACTATCTTATTCAAGAGAATTTTTTTTTAATTAGAAAGTTTGTAAATGGTGCTGACATTTATGGTGAGCTGCTAGTTGGGATTTTTCCTTTGATTTGCCATAGATGCATGTTCATTTGCTAATGAGTAAAAACTGAAAGATCAGTACCTACAATCTTCTTCTGAATTATTATTTTTCTGCATAGTATTTATATGGCAAATATAGTGATTTTAGTTAAATATATTATTTGAAAGAATATGTCTTAAACATCTAGATGTGTTTATAAAATATACTTGATGACTGTTGCTTGATCAAATTTAATATCAAAATGGGAATTGAATCACAGGAAAATACTATTATATTTACCAAAAGAAAGCTCTTCTAAATCATAGACTCTTTCAAATTTGAAAATAACCTTGGAAGCTAATGCAGCTTGCCAACCTGATTTAGAAATTTACTCTACAACATCCTGACATGCAACTTTTCTTCAGTGTCTAAATTGGTGTTTTCTGTGGTTAAGAATCACTATCTCCATGTTTGAACAGTTCTAACAGAAAATTCTTCCTAACACTGAAAACAGCTCTGCCTTGTGTAATAACTAACTTCCAGCCCTTGGTCTTGGGTTGCTCTCTTCACATGCCAGTCATTTAAGTGTTTGAACCAGTACCATGTCTTCCATTCCTCCAAAATCAAGGCCTCATTTTTATTTTTGTTCAAATGCGTGGCACTTTAACATCTCCCACAATGGCTGGTGTTATGTATCTCCTTGTCCAGTTATCTCAGGATAATGTGTCCTACCTAGTTCTATTGCTTTTATGGTGGATTGAGCCTGACCAGTGTCACAGAATCTGTTTCATGTATGGACCTTGGCTCCCTGTCTATTCTCAGTGTGCTGGATAATTCAGACATATCATTTCCTCATTTAGCTCTTTAAGTCTTATATATCCCATTTGGACTACAGCCTTGCTGTGTCTCCCTTCTCCTACTCATGCCCATCAACATAATCACAACCATATTTTCTGGGAGAGGAATTATGAAGCCAAATTTTAGTAAGCCAAACAATTTGTCTTTAGGTATGGTTTGAAGACTTTTAAAAACGCTAAAGAAAACTCCAGAAAGTATGCAAAGAATAGAAACCAAACACATCCTTGGTGGTGAAGGAGAGGACAGTTTGCTCACAAATCAATACTGACCAGCCTCATGATAATATCAATCTAAATTTGGAGATTCATTTGTGCAGTTAGTTCATTTGGATAAAACACGGTATTTTCATAAAACAATGCCATAATTAAATAAGTCTATGAGTCAGATAGTTTTGTTCATTTCACTAACTTTGGCATTCCCAATAATAAAGGCCTAACTAGCTCAACAAATTATGCTGTTGGTCTCAAGGGTAACAAGATTGCTGAAATAACTCAGAGTATAGTCTTCTGCTAATGAGTATCATACTGTAGCATAAATATTTCTTTATATGTCTGTCTGCCTCATTTAACTGGAAACTTTTAGGGATAGGGACATATCTTCAGCATTTCTGGGCCCAGCAGTTGGCAGAGTGCCTGTAATATAATAAAGCTTCCAATAAACTGATATGATACTGAGCCAACACGTGAAGCAAGATATATTTTAGTTGTTTCTAAATCAATTTGGTATATCTGTATATTTTTTTACTTATTTTCACATGCAAAGGAAAGTATTTTGATTTATTTTAGGATTTTACATTTTAGAATGTTACCACATTGTACTTTAACTTATTAATGTATGTGTTAATTCTTTTTGTAATATTAATCTTGCTTATGTTCAAAGTCTCTGAAAAAATTGGTTTAGATAGTTTATGCAACTTTAGTTTTTGTGGTACAATAAATGGAAAAGTTAATCCAAAGCACTTTTTTAGAGTGAAATTGCATTATACAAGTGCACAGCCCACCTTTGGAGAGCATGTATATATTATAGTTGACTATATAGTTGGATCTTGAAAGTGAAATTATAGATTCAAAGTCATTTATTCACTTAATTTTTTAATGCTTGGGGAGTATTTGTTTTCACATAATTCTCACATTTAATTCTGTGTTTCTTTTCAAAGGCAGTAATGGATAAAACAATGACTACAAATTTCCTATTTATCCTACAAGAGCATAATAGCGTCAATGACCTTTTTCCCATTCAGGCAGGGGAATAGTGCCCAAAGCTATTTACATGGCACACACAACTTACTTCATTTCTCTGTTAGTGGAATGTGGGGTTTTGCATATGCTATGAGAACTAAAATTAGCATTTTTGAGGTCCACGTTAACCATATTAACATGTAGTAAAACATTTCAATTCTATAAAATGATTAATTAAAAATGTATCTCAGAAAAAATATATATTGTCTGTATTTATTGTTATTACAAATAAAAGAGGTGGAGAAAGGCGAATGCCAGGATTCTCATTTTCTTGCCTCTCCTTTCCCAGGAGTTCTGGGTTTCTGAGTGGCTTTAATGGTCTCAGGAGTACTAAGAGTATGGTGGTGAAGGTGGAGGATTATCAACACGGGCTTCTGTAGTTGGGATATGTCCAGCAACACAGATTTCAAGGTGGAAGACTAGGACTGAAATGAACAGAGTGACAACCAGTCTTCAGCTAAGTCACAGGTGGAGAGAGATCTCCAGGTCCGGACTGAGCTAAGAACAGACCAAATAAATGTCCATGGGCCACAGATGACTGCAGCAGAAGCCAAGTCTGCAGGGGCAGGAACTTCCCAATCCTGCCTCACTGACACCAGGCACACCAGTCACGGCCAGGGTATGAACCTATCTACTTCATATACTCAGATGCTCATGGGGGGGCCAGTGAAGGAGTCCAAGTCTGAGAGACTAAGTAGTCCCTCAAAAGGGCTTTTAATGTGTTTGCATTGGACAGATGCTCTCTTAATTCCAGTTCCTGAAATTTATTCTTATTTCTGGACAGGGCCATTTTCTATCATGTGTCTGGTTTTCCTCTGTGATGAGCTGTGATTTCTAAGCCATATTGTCTCTCAAGTCCTTCTTGCAGACTACGGCCCAGGTTGCAACTCATTTCCTCCTTGGGAACCCAACCCTTGAAAAGCGAACTCTGTCCCCATCTCACATGACTGCATAAGGCCACTTGCCTTCTCCACGTGTCCAAAGAGCTCTGGTGCTTATTGGTCAGTCCTTGTTCCAAACTTCTCT